ACCTGAAGCAAGAGGATCGCAAGTTCAAGACCCACCTTGGCAACTTAGTGAGACCCTGTCTCAAAATAAAAAGAGTTGGAATGTGGCTCAGTAGTGGAGCATCCCTGGGTTCAATCCCCAGTACTGCAAAAAGGAAAAAAATAGAAAGGGGCAATACAGGGTTTTGTTAAAGAACATAAACAAGTCCCACGTGTTTGGAAGAAGTAAGAATACATCAAACTGAATAGATCTGCTTTTCATGAAAGGCTTTGAATAGTATGTTAAGAATTTTGGACTTCTGGAAAACAAGAACCTTCTATTCATATTAAAAATGGTAGCACTTCTTGAGAAAAGAGAATTGTACTGCTAGTGTAAAAAAAATAAATAAATTTGAAAGGAAGATTGCAGACAGAAAGATCTCTTGATAGTTACACAATAGTCCTAGCAAACAGGAATGAGGACCTCTTCTGAGCAGTAGCAGAAACAGAATGAAGAGAGAGACAAGAAACAAGTCCATACAGAATCTCAGCATGCAGAGGGACCTCAGGAGCACAGACTTGAAGGGGTGGGAATCATCCAGTTCAGCCAGCTGTCCCTCATTTTATAGATAAGGAGGGAAATCAAGTCACAAAGCTGAAATCTCTTTCCAAAGTTCACAATGAAAGTGAGCCTAGGGCTCTGCTGAGAACCAGGGATTCCAATTCTTAATCCAAGTGTTCTCTGGTGCAACAGGCTGGGAGTCCAGGAAAGGTAAGAGGAAAATCGGGACACTTGACCGTTCTTAAAGGGAAGAAGGCACACGCTTGAACATGCTTCCACATACTAGATTTTCCAAATTCACCCGTTCCCATCCTGATGTAGTTGACCCAGGGGTGGCAGGTGGGAGTGGGACAGCTGAAGTTTGTGATCTAATGAATCAGCAAATAATACCTAAATGCAATGAAAACTTCACAGATTATAGGCATATTCACCCATCTCCCCACCCCATTTTCTCCACTCCCACCTTCCCTCAGGACATATTCATTCCTCTGGTCAACAAATCTTTATCAGTTGCCTACTACTGCAGTGCTTTGGTAGCTTCTGGGTTAGGAGATTGTGCAAGACCTCTGGAAGGTGCAGAACAGCAGCTCTAACTCCATATCTCTTACCTCTGCCTAGCTGCATCTTAGCCAGGCAGACTGAGCCTGCTGTCATTCTCAAGTCAGTGCTTTTGAATCACTGTTCCTTGCCATTGGTTTTTTTTTTTTTTTTTTTTGGTGGGGGCGGAGGTACTTGGGATTAAACTTCAGGGGCACTCGACCACTGAGCCCCATCCCAAGTCCTATTTTATATTTTATCTCTAAGACAGGGGTCTCACTGAGTTGCTTAGTGCCTCACTTTTGCTAGCTTTGAACTTGCAATCCTCCTGTCTCAGCCTCCCAAGCTGCTGGGATTACCATGCCTGACCCCTCTCCATCTTTTTTTTTTTTCCCTCTCCATCTTAACTCAAAACAATGTGGCAGGGCTGGGATTGTGGCTCAGGGATAGAACACTTGCCTAGCCTGTGTGAGGCACCGAGTTAGATTCTTAGGACCACATATGAATAAATGAATAAAACAAATGTTCATCAACATCAAAAAAAGAATTAAAAAAAAAAACAATTTGGCAGTTCTTCAAAAAGTTAGAGTTCCCATGTGACCCAGCAACTCCATTTCTAAGTGAAGAGAACTGAAAACATAACCACACAAAAAAACTTGTACAACAATGTTCATAGCATCATTATCATAATAGTCAAAAGGTGGATCTGGGCACCTCTGTAATCCCAGTGATTTGGGAGGCTGAGTCAGGAGGATCTGGAAGTTCAAGGCCAGTCTTGTCAACCTAGCAAGGCCGTCAGCAATTTAGCAAGACCCTGTCTCAAAATACATACATAAATAAAAAGGGCTGGGGATGTGGCTCAGTGATTAGGTGCTTGTGGGCTCAATGTCCGGTACCCAAATAAAAGAACATGACAAATGCCCATCAATGGATGAATGGATAAGCAAAATGGGGTATATTCATACAATAAAACACTATGTAGACATAAAAAGGAATGAAGAACTAATACATGCTACAAAACATTATCTGAACCTCCAAAACATTATCTGAAGTAAAAGAAGTCTGTCAAAAACACCACAAATTATGTGATTCTATTCCTGTGAAATGACCAGAATAGGTGACTCCACAGAGACCAAAAGTAGACTAGTGTTTGACAGGGACTGAAAGAGGGCAGGGCGGGGGATGACTTCTAATGGGCACAGGATCCCTTTTAGAAGGACAAAAGTGTCCTAAAATAGACTTTGGTGATGGTTGCACAATGCTAAAAGTGTTAAATCTCACACTTTACAAGGGTGAATCATACGGTGTGTGAATCAACTCAATAAAGCCCTTTAGCAAAAAGGAAGTGAAAAAAAAAAACTCATAAACCTGATCAGAATGATTCAAATCTGTCACTTTCTTTCTTACTTACTTTATTTATTTACTGGTGCTGGGGATTAAACCCAGGGTCTGGGGCATGCTAGGTAAGTGTTCCACCAATGAGCCACATCCCAGCCCTCACCTCCTTTAAAGACGTCTCTTATTGGTCTGTGGTACTATTAACCATGCTCTAGGAATTACCTAAAATCCCATCAGCAATGACTTCTGACTTTTTAACTCATTTCATTTGGGAGAAAGATGTGGACTGAGACATTAGGAAGGGAGACATAGTGGACTCAGGTATCCAAAAACAGAATCCCATGACAGAAGAGACTTGGTCATGTAGTGGACTCCAGGACCACAAACCCAGACTAAAAACCATGCACTAGACACCGCCCCTCCCCAACAAAAACCCTAGGCCTTCTTCATTTGGCTCAGAACACTTTCTCTGACAAGGCTAAAATATCGCTGAGGCCGGTGTTACCTTCAAAAACCACTGACGCCTACAGATGTCATTAATAGAGAAATGGCCTGTAATTAAGAGGAGGGAGATTGACCTGCAAGGAAAGATTTTAAAGTGAGAAGTTATTTATGCAGATGATAATAAATGACCTTTCAATATCGAGAAATCTGAGGGAGTCTTTATGTCTATTAATTAGTCCCACTCCTCTCCAGGGGAAGGTGTTGTTCATTTGCTTGATCTGCAATTTATCCACCTGCTGAATTCCAAAGGGCTAGCAGAAATGCAGTGTCTGCCCCAGCACGACACGGGGGGCCTTCCCTTGTAGCACAAACAGCCATCTGCTGGACCCTGTGGGTTTCTTTGCACTGAAGAGGCACTGGATACCCCAGTAGAAGGAAAAAGGAAGTCTGAGAGTTCCATGATAATTATTCATACTGATTGGACCAAAATACAACAAGGAAGCATTCTACAACCTCTATAAGCTCAAAATTGCACCTGTCACCAAGGCCTGCAATGCAGAAAAAAACTATAGGGACTAAAAAGTGCATCTTCAGTCTCGCTCCAAACCAATCTCCAGAGCCATAAATTGTAAAAACAGAGGGGTACACTTTCTATGTAGGTTTTGTGTTTTTTTTTAATGAATAAAAGCATCTGTCCTGTCTCACAGAATGAATAGATCACAAGCTTTGTCAGTATTGGGACCGTTGAGGTATGGAGATGCCCAGGAAAATAATAAATATCTGACTAGCTAAGTGCAGGGAATCCTCGTTTCCAGGATGGATTCCTTCATAGCATGTCATTAGGAAATCACTGCTGTCTATGTGGAAAGCTATTTCTCCAGTTGAGGAGTAGGCAATTACCAGTTGTGTTCCAAAAGAGGCCGTGTAACACAAGGACTGTGCATGGGGGCTTTGGAATGAGGAAAAGACCGATCCAAACCTCATCAGGCAGCTGTAAGCTGTGCAGCCTTGAATAAATTATTTATCTGACCCTCAGTTTCCTTGCTAGGGAAACAAAGTCAATGCTTTCTTCTTCATGGGTTGTTCTGCAAATTAAATAGGATAACATATATATATATATGTGATACTTGACATATAAAAAACATAGAGCCTAGCACACAAGACTTCAATAAAATGTAGCTTAGAAACCTCTTGCCTTGGAGACCAAAAGACCACACTCCAACATGATGGTATTCAAAGTATCAAAACACACTGGAAAACAATGAAGAAAAAGAGTGTGTGTTTACAGATTGGCTTTCTCCATTTCCCACAGAGAAAGAGAGAAGCACAAAGTCCTGAGGCCTCCATCAAATTTGTGAATTGAGCAAAATTAAAATATTACATCTAAGGCCCCAACTAACTTTGATTGGAATCACAGAATCTTAGAATGTTATCGCCAAAAGAAAGCTCCAAACCTCTCCTTTTACAGATGAAGAAACTCAAGGTCAGGGGGTTAAGTGATTTGCCCCAAATCATCCAGCTCATTCCCCAATTCCTTCAATACAATACACATAAGAAAAATCTACATTATTTCTATCCACTGCAGCTTCTCCTTCTTCCTGGTAATCAATGTCCCCCTACCCTAACAATGACAATCAGATTTGGGAAGCAATTCGAACCACCGACAATGATCTTGTGTGTATTCAATCACCCAGTGAGATTAAAAACTCTTCAAAAAAAAAAAAAGAAACTCTTCAAGACCAAAGTTTGTCTCTTATCTCAGGGCCTACAAAAGGGCCTCTCATATGCTCACAAATACCCATTTATTAACTGATTGGCTGATCAACACAGTTCTCTGCCCATCCTTAAGAACTTATTAAGTGTTAAATGACTGTATACACAGAAAATCCTACTATTAAGAACATTCTCTCTCTCTCTCTCTCTCTCTCTCTCTCTCTCTCTCTCTCTCTCTCTCTCTCTCTCTCTCTCCAATGCAGCATCAGGCAAAGACAGCTGTCCATGTAACCAAAAGAAATAGTTGCTAGGGAGCCCTGGAACATACCAACATAAAGAAGCATTGCTGCTCTCTCTCATGACGCACACACCCCAAACAAACTGTCCACCAATTTCAAAGAAAGAACGTGGAGGACTCAAGGGAGAGTTTTAGACATTTTATTACTTACTCTTTGGTGGCAGCAGGCTGAGATGCCATGGAGGGGTGCCCCACACGTACAAGCAGGGGCACAGTATAGGGTAGACTGCATGCCCACTAAATCCGTGCAGGAGGATTCCCTTAGATGCTTTATGAGGACATTCCTTTACCTTGCCATCAGGTCACTCTGTTTGTATCCTCTCCTAAAGACTGGAGATAAGGAAAGTTGCCAGCTCCCTCTTCACATTTTTAGAGATCTTCTGGTCTCACTGCAAGCTTCCCTGGCCCTGATTATTGTTTAACCCAACACAGGATGGTATTGTCTTTAGCCCCTACCTGTCCCGCCTCCACACCCCTTATTTGCCTCTAGGATTAATCAAATCTTCACAAGAGAAATAAAGAAGAACACTAAGGAGAGATACAAAAGCATAAAGAGAATCTTCATGTGACCTAGTTCTCAAGATCTATAAGCAGATTTAAGCAAGTCCTGACCGGTACTGGAAGACTTCCAAGAACAGAGGACGTAGGCTCCTACAGGGAGCATAACCAGACTCTGAAAAGCAGAAATCCTGCTGAACGTCGGTCAGGAGGGGCGCGGAGCATTCGGTGCTATCAGGTGCCATGTAGAAATTACGTTCCCTCAGTATGCCACAGTCCTGCGGTTATCGAAACTTGAAGACTTTGAGTCACATTCTCTGCCCCTCATCTAATCTGCCCCCAAACCATCTTTTTTTTTTTCCCTCCTATCATCTATCCACCTCCCGAAAGTTTTGACCTGCTGAATCCAGGTCAAAGGACTCCTAACTGGTACCCCTGTTCTGATATTCCTCTTTCCAGTCTGTCTTATGCATCCCAGTCTAAGGTGACAAACTCGTCCCAGAACTCTCCCAATTTTAACACTGAAAATCTCACATGCTGGGAAATCTCTTGGTCCCAGACAAACTGAGACAGCTGGCTACCTACTGTGGTCAGATTAAAATCTTCCCCCAACAATGCCTGGATCAGGTCACTTTTCTGATCAAAATGGTCCCTGATTCACATTTCTCATTAAAATAAACCCTAGAGTCAGTCCCAGGTCTATACCAGAGAGTGCATAAGAAAGCAGATTGGGCTGGGGTTAGAAAACAAGTGTGCTAGGCCTGGCTTCTGTCACAGTCCTGGGGGGGCCTTGGAACATCACTCAGTCCTGGGGGCCCCTTGGAACATCACTCAGTCCAACTGAACTCAACTTCCTGATCTGTAAATAAGGAGTCTAAGACTAGATTTCCTTTTCAGCTCCAAAATCCTCTAACTCTACCTTTCTATGTATCCTCTCTCTTTGTTCAGACTTAGTTCATCCTAATTCAAACACACGTGTATTCTCACCCTTATGCCTTTGGTCCTTCCCTTCTCCCCACCCAGAATTTCTTTGCTTTCTTTTCTGCCTACCTGAAGCCCAAGCCCAGGCCATCAGAACACCACACGCACCTAGGTTTTCCAGTACTCAACACTGACCATGTCCCACCCCTGTTGTTCAATTTTTTTTTTCAATGTGAAGCCTCATTATTCCAGGTGGATGAAAAATCTTCCTGTACTTTTGTGATTCCTTTGCAGAATTCTGAACACATCATAAATAATGACAAGTGTCTTCTACTAATAACTGATTGGTTGATAGATATATAGGAAAGGTATAACCAGAGACCTAGATGTGAGACAAAAACCGAAATACAGATAACTCTAGAATTCTTTGTACCTTACACAGAACTCTGCAATGCAATAATCAACTTACCCCAAGAACATTTACTAAGAATCTGCACTTAAGACACTCTGCTGGCAACACAGATGTAGAGACGAGGAATAACTGGAGACCTAGGTCTCTGACAGTGTCTACCTCACAGATACTACAAGCTTGCAACACGTCCCTCACCTCTAACATTTTAGTAAGACTTAAAAGTCTCAAGTGGTGACCGTTTCACCATCATAATCCCCCATAACATGTTCCCAAATTGATCATGTATCTACTTCTCCCCTAGCTTATTAACATTGGGGCTGTTAAATGAAAAAAAAAAATAGCAATTCAAGGGCTGGGGCTGTAACTCAGTGTGCCCAGCATGTGTGAGGCACTGGGTTCAATTCTCAGCACCACATATAAATAAATAAAGATCCATTGACAACGAAACAATATTTTTTTTAAAAAATAGCAACTCAAAATAGATCAATATGGTAAAAACAAATATCTGCTTATTTGAAATAGAATAGTCTAAGATAAATCTCTTCCAGGAACTATATCTTGGCCAAACACATAAAACTTCCTAATCCTTGCTTTGACAGGTTTTCATCATGTAGCCAGGTAGATACCCTTCTCTGTTATGATTTGACTGTTGCCTCCCGTTAGTCTTGACAACTGACATTTATTAAGGATGAACTCAGCGTGCACCTGTCTTTTGGGACCCCTACAGCATACATGTATGCACACTCCCCTAATTAAGTAGGGCTGAGACTTGAAGAGTGTCATCTTCTGCAATGACAAACAGGTTCATGAGCAACTGGGGGAAGTAAATAAATCAAACAGTTTACAGAGAGAGAGGTTAAGCTGGGTTGAGCTGGGTTGGACCCAGAGTGATTCAGGCTTTACCACAGAAGGGTGTCTCCTATGACAACCTAGTAGGACAATTAGAACCCCTTATAAATAAGTCGAGTTTGTGGGTCTCCAGTATCCTTCCTGACTTCTGAATCTTCTGCTCACTCCTCTTCAAGAAGGTAGGACATTCACGGGGGAGCAATGGCAGTATCTGCAGTGTTCTTGCTGTAATATGCTGGGCTGGGGAGGCCTGAGACTATTCCTTGTGGGTGATAGCCAGGGGTACCTTCCATTTCTGGGCTCTAAGAATATGATGATAGCTAGGGTGGCCTATATCTGAGCTTGTAAAATACATGGGCCATTACTTCAATATATACTAGGCATCCCAGAACTAAGGGTTAAGATTATTCATGGATAGCTAAGTCTTCCATAGTGGAGCATTTACCTTCTGTGCCTGTTAGGCAAGACCCAAGAGTTTGGGGTTCCTGAAGGTCAAGCCCCTGGACCATGGAGCCTTAACAATATTCAAGTGTCATTGCAACAAATCTCTACAAAGGACTCCATTTGTCCCATTGCAATCACTATTTACTACTCATCCTCATAGGCTTCACTGTCTGCTGTTGGAAGTACAATGTGTTCTGCAGTCAGGGCTTTAGTGTGGAAGCCTGTAAACCCAGTAACTGGAAATTTTATACCACAATAGGAAATGTCATAGACCTACAGATCCCAAAAGACCCGACCTTCCAACATAGCCCATATGGACTTAACTGACAATGTATACTTCCTGTCGTCTATGCAGTGAATTTGGCTACGTACCCACTTGGTATTTTTATCTGTAACAGATCTGTATTTACTGATTCCGTTTTATACACAGGTCCCCAGACGACTATTCAGGCCAGAAGCGCTTGCTGTAATTTAGCCTTCCAGAGAGCTTACTTGGATCATTGAGAGAGACCCTTAGCCTTCCCCCTTGCTTAATAAAAGTCCATTAGAAGACTGAGACCTGTTCGAGGGGGTCTAATTAGTGTCCCCTCCAGTATGCTAACTGTTGGTAGAAAATAATATTCTACTACGCTGCTTCGGGCCATGCCTCTATGGGCTTCCCGACTGCCTTCATTTTTGTTCAAGTTCTGCCCAGGATACAGCATGTAAAGCACCTACCATACATTTTTTTTGTTTTTTAGTAAGTTTTCTCTTTTCTAGCAGGAAAACCAATTTGTACCACTTCTACCTTAGCACTTGATATTTGGAGCTTGACTCTGGGTATGGCTAAAAGGGGTCTCCATTATTTCTTAAGCTTCTTTTCCAAACCAAAAGCGGTTACATTCTCTCTGGAAATGGTATCCCCTGGTCTTTATCTCAAACACAGACAAAATCTTTTTTTTTTTTTCGTTTTCTTTTAGGTTAACCTGCATTTTCCAAAATGGCTGAACTCCTGAACAGCATACTCAATGTGATCAAAGCTTTCCAGATGTATGCCAAAGAGAACTGCACTTCACTATCCAAGAAGGAGTTGAAACAGCTGCTCTTAACTGAATTTGGAGACATCCTCCAGGTAAAATACATAGACACTTGGCCCCACAGAGTCAAGTGTGAATGATTCTGACGTTTGCAACCAGAGTTTAATGTTTTATTTCATTTTATTTCATGCTGCACTCTGCAACAAAAAGAATTCAGGCAGCTCCTTAGTAGTTTTCTCCCAGCAAACACCACACACACACACACACACACGCACGCACGCACACACCTCCCTCCTTGTGTCTGAGCTTGAGCTTGAATGACAGACAGAACAACTTCAAAGTAATAAGCAATAACTAAAAGAAAGTCTGAGATTCATATTTTGATTTCTATATTTAATGCTGTCCATACATGTTCTCAAGTATTGTTTCATTCTTTCGGTAAAGATCATTGCATACCTACTCTATGCCAGCACAAGCCTAGTCACTAGGGATATGAACATGGATAAAATTAGCTTTCCTCCTTGCATGATCTTACAGTGTGGTGAGAAAGAAGTTGGTGAACAAACATTCAGGATATGGAACACTAAGGGATGTTAATGATTCTAATTAATTATTAATAGAACTGATTTTAAATAAGTCTTTCTACTCCCTAGAGTCATTTTCCTGCTAGTCCAGCAAGGGATGAGGTTCTGAGAACCAACTGATCATAGACTAGAACAAAGCCCAAGCTACTTCAGATTAATCCATTTGTCAATAAGCAAAAGCCCTTGCGTGAAATGAATGGATTAGGATATGAGCATTGATGTGCATCTCAGTATCCATAAGAGAATGTCTGATTTGGTTCTTTGTTGTTGTTGTTGTTTTATCTTCTCACAGAGACCAAATGACCCAAAGACTGTGGAAAACATACTGACCCTCTTGGACCAAGACTTAGATGGACAGGTTGATTTTCAAGAATACCTCTTGTTGGTGTTCCAGTTGGTCCAAGCCTGCCATCGAAAGCTAGGTAAGAAGTCATGTGGACACAGAGCCTCCCAGCAGGAAGAGGGGCAGGAAGTAACCCAAGACACAGGCAGACCACACAGGCAGAAGCCTGAGGGAGAGAGGCAGAACTCCTTCCACCGTCAGTCTGAGAGACAAAGTCAGGATGCCCAACACAATCAATCTGAGAGAAAAGATAGGGATTTCCATCACGGTCCAACTGAGAGACAGGGCCAGGACTTCAGCTATGATCAGTCAGAGAGACAAAATAGGGATTCGCACCATGGTCAGTCAGAGAGACAAGACAGGGATTCCTATCATGGCCAGTCAGATCAATATGAAAGACAAGGTCAGGATTCTGACTGTGGTCAAACACTGAGTCATGAGTCTAGCACTGGCCTGCCAAAAGAGCAAGAATACATTTTTGCTTGCAATCTATCTGAGAAACCAGTTCAGTATTCTCACTACGGTCAGTCTGAAAGGCATGAACAACAATCAAGCTGTGGCCAGTCTGGGAGACTCAGACAAGACTCTCACTCTAGCCAGAACAACCAACAGGAATCCGATTCTCAAAATGGACAATCTGGGGAGCTGACTGAGGAATCGAGCTACGGTCAGACAGACAGACAAGGACAGAGTTCTCACTATGGTCAGACAGACAGACAAGGACAGAGTTCTCACTATGGTCAGACAGACAGACAGGGTCAGGGTACCCACTATGGTCAGACAGACAGACAAGGACAGAGTTCTCACTATGGTCAGACAGACAGACAGGGTCAAGGTTCCCACTATGGTCAGACAGACAGACAAGGACAGAGTTCTCACTATGGTCAGACAGACAGACAGGGTCAGGGTACCCACTATGGTCAGACAGAAAGACAAGGACAGAGTTCCCACTATGGTCAGACAGACAGACAGGGTCAAGGTTCCCACTATGGTCAGACAGACAGACAGGGACAGAGTTCTCACTATGGTCAGACAGACAGACAGGGTCAAGTTTCCTGCTATGGTCAGACAGACAGACAAGGACAGGGGTCCCACTATGGTCAGACAGACAGACAGGGTCAAGGTTCTCACTATGGTCAGACAGACAGACAAGGACAGAGTTCTCACTATGGTCAGACAGACAGACAAGGACAGAGTTCTCACTATGGTCAGACAGACAGACAGGGTCAGAGTTCCCACTATGGTCAGACAGACAGACAGGGTCAGGGTTCTCACTATGGCCAGACAGACAGACAAGGACAGGGTTCCCACTATGGCCAGACAGACAGACAGGGTCAGGGTTCCCACTATGGCCAGACAGACAGACAGGGTCAGGGTTCCCACTATGGCCAGACAGACAGACAGGGTCAGGGTTCCCACTATGGCCAGACAGACAGACAGGGTCAGGGTTCCCACTATGGCCAGACAGACAGACAAGGACAGAGTTCCCACTATGGCCAGACAGACAGACAAGGACAGAGTTCCCACTATGGTCAGACAGACAGACAAGGACAGAGTTCCCACTATGGCCAGACAGACAGACAGAGTCAGGATTTCCACTATGGCCAGACAGACAGACAGGGACAGGGTTCCCACTATGGCCAGACAGACAGACAGGGTCAGGGTTCCCACTATGGTCAGACAGACAGACAAGGACAGAGTTCTCACTATGGCCAGACAGACAGACAGGGTCAGGGTTCCCACTATGGTCAGACCGACAGACAAGGACAGAGTTTCCACTATGGCCAGACAGACAGACAGAGTCAAGGTTGCCACTATGGCCAGACAGACAGACAGGGTCAGGGTTCCCACTATGGCCAGTCACAGACTGGGGAAACTGAAATACTAGGACAAAATAGATGCTCCCAAGGGACTCAGGGAACAGGAAGAAGCTCAGATGGTGAACAGTCAGGAAAGTCAGGGAGAGGCAATCAACAGACTCCAGGACAGGAAATGAAGCAAAACCAGGGACAGGAGTTCCAGCCCAGGGAGGAGCAAAAGCAGAACTTGCAGCCTTGGAAGCCTGAGGCAGGCAGCCAACATCACCAACACAAACTCCTAGGGCAGATCCGGCAAGAAAGGCCGTTTTGTCATGAAGGGCAATCAGGCAGGAGTGAGCAGAGCCACAGGCAGGTCCAGACCAGGCAAAGCCAGGCCAAGGAGCAGAGACACAAAGCAGAGGAAAAGCGCCATCAAAGCTGGGATAGAGACAGCCGTGAGGGCCAGGAGGGCCCATGTGAGGCCCAGGACAGAAGAAGCCACGAAGAGGAAAAGCACCATCAGACAGAGGACAGACAGACCTCTGCAGATGAACAGAAGCGCCAGAGACAAAATAGACCAACTCACAAAGAGGATCAACACCACCAACAACAGGATAAACAGAACCATGAGAAGACAGACAGGTACAAGGGGTCCCCAGGTCAACAGTCCCAAGGACCCCAGCAAGGCTTTCCCAAAAGAGAGAAATTCCACATGAACGAGGATGACCACAGCCAAAGCTCCCAAGGGGGACAATTCCATCCAACCCAAAGCCGTGGAAGGCTCCAGAAAAGTGAACAGGGTAGAGGTCACCCCACCAAGACTGCTAATGTCCCCAACCCCTTCTACGCCTACGTTCAAGAGCTGAAACGACATAACTACTAGGCTATGTGCGAAGTCAAAGAAGGCACCCCCATGAAGGTCGTCTTTATTCTGTTTAAAAGTTGAAAAAGTTTATCTTCCTTTTATCTACCTGCAGGGATGCTTTTGAGAACTAGGATTCACTTTTAAGGCATTTCAGGCTTTCAAGCAGCAATCCTAGGATTTTCTGGTTGGGTGAAATCTAAGTAGTAAATTGGGTGAAAGAATCAAATCTTAATTTTGATCAATTTAGGGATTTAAATCATTTCTTGGTTTGCTCTCTGAACAAGTGAGACTTGGTTGGATCACTGAAAGATAGAACACTTCTCCTTAAAGTTCAGAAACAGGAAAACTATGCCAAAGATTTACATTACAACTAAAGAGAAGAAATCCGGGCTTGGGTGGGCTTTGGCTCCGGAGCATAAAACATCAGAAACTGCAAGCATCGCAATCTAGACTAGAATGAAACACCTTGAGAGGCTGCCAGGAGACCATCCAAAGTCACTGACATCCCCCACGCCCAGGCCCTACCCCTCACCAGAGGGACTATCCATCAAGTGCCTGTCACAAGAACTGACTGAACCCATTCCAACTCAATGCCTTTCTAGTTTCCAATCACATAAAAATAGAAAGCATATGTCATCTGTTTGCAGATCCCCAAAGGCTATGGATACCCATGATCCATACCTTCCAAGTCCTGAAAACCCTTCCCAACAAAATCAATGTGCAGACCACAGACTTGTATTCAAATACTCAATAAATGATTGGTGAGCAATGACTTTGATGGCTTTTTCTTCTTCTCTGTGGAACCATGTTATCTTTAATTGTGGGCCCTTTTCCAAGAATAAGACCTCATTTCCTGACTTCTGAATTTCTGGGCTGTGATAAAAATAAGGATCAACATGAAACAAATAAAAAAGAGTCAAAATGGAACTTATCTAAACATAGCTTTTGGCTCCCTCCCCCACCAAGGAGTTACATTTGACTCTTACCCCTCATTCACGGCCACATGCAAATGGTCACTGATTTTTGCCAATTCTGCATCCTCCATGACTTCTGAGTATCTTCTTATATCTCCATCTCCTCTTGCCTTAATTTTCTTTTTTCAGAGAGGCTCCCTGGTAACTTTATTAACTTATTAGCATGGCTCATGGACCCTTTACTCTCTGACCCAAGATGACCTTACTCAGCCCAATCTAATGAGAGGCCATTCCCAGGAGTATCCAGTGCTCCCGTCATGCCAAGCACTTGGCCTCTCCTTAGTTCACTGGGGTCTTTCATGAATCCATATAAATACAACATTTCATCATCCTGAAAATTCCCTCCCTGTTTTCTGCCTGGTCAAAACCCAGACATTCCTTGGGTCCCAGTTAAGACATCACCTCTTTTGAACAGCCTTCTTAGACAGGCCAAGCAGTGATTTCTCCTAATCCCCACTCACTTCTGTTATATTGTTTGGCCCATCTGTAAATTATCCTCCCTGCCAAACTGGGGATAAGACCTCATCAGCTCAGCTTGGTACTGCTCACCTCTAAGTGTAGCCACTGATGTTCAGTGCCCCTCAGTGACTGTTTAGAAATAGAGAAAATGATTCTGGCCTCAGAATAAATTGAACTGGACATTTACTGAGCATCCTCTGTACATAAAACACAGGATCAGACAAGAGAGACTAAATGAACCTCTTACAAAATTAGAGGTCAATAAATAAAACAGTAACCTTTTTGACTAATTTCAACAAAAAGGATGTTATGCCTAGAATAATGAGGGCTGGATTATTAGAAATCTGCAAGAAACTCCTGGGACTACTGAGTTCAATATATCACATGAGCTATAATTCAGGATTCAGAAACCTAGGATCCTGAAGCTGCTGGCATTGCTACCAAAATTGCCTGCCAACAACCACACCTCTATAAAATTGCTTTCCAAAACAAACAACCAAAATCATAGAATGATGACCTCTGACTCACTCTTACCTTTCAAATCTCATGCAAGCACATCTAATTGGAAAAAAACATTAATTTGCATCCACAACTGTTGGTGCAGCGACTTGCGGTAGTGCCGGGGTATTTCTGCTGATGGTGTCATCGGTGGTACAATTTTTCCAAAAGGAGCCTTCAATTGGCTTGGTGTATCCTCCTCCCTTCTGCTTGTGATGGTAGTTCAGCTAAAATTTGGAGGCCAATAGAGGTGAGGCAAAGAACCTCACCCCCCCACTGGTGCATAGGCCTATCCACAGGTGTGGCTGTATGCTGGACTGGTAGTCAATGATGGGTAAGATCCAATTACAATGGTACCAACCTAAGACAGGAGGCTGACGCCTTGAGGTCAGCTCATCCGATGACGGGTAAGGACCATATGTAGTATTGGACCATCTAAGGCAGGCACGGTCCCTAAGCCACATGCTTGTTGTTTAATTAAACAGAGAGGGGGAGATGTTGAGAGCCACAGCCCAAGCGGCCCCAGCAAACTTCCAGCTGATTGGCTCACAGTGGCCCCAGCAAACTTCCAGCTGCCAGCTGATTGGCTCCTCTGCGTTGATGCTCACTGGGCTGTTTCCCCGCCCTTTCAGACCACGAAGCTGCTCATTGGGGGACTCTTTGGGCTCCGCCCACGCGACCCAGCCAATGGGCCTCAAGAGCGGGAGGAGGTGGGTTGAGAGGCTCGCCAGAAGCCGGTGGTGGCAGTTGGGCTCTGAGGGAATTCCTGAAGAGCTCGCTTGGTGCGGCGTGTGCGTTCTAAAAATAAAGTTCATTCCTGCTTGATAAGTGGCTGGTGAATTGTGCCCAGCCAGACTGCAGCACACAAGTTGAGTTGTGAAGAAGCCTAGGAAATTTGGAAGGAGAAAGGAGATGCTGAGAGCCACTGGGTCATATTCTCTACAGAGAGAGTATAACACTTTATCACAACAGTCCCCTCCCTCCAGGAAATCAAAACATAGTAAGACGTACATGCATAGAAAACAACCTTTGTGCAAGGCACAACATCCTAGATACAGGAAATCACACCAGGAAGAAAGGAAGCAGCTATCCCTGGAAGGATCGAGAAGGACAGTCACAGGAGAAGGACCAGGATCCTGGAGAGAAGGTCTGTCCTGGACCTCAAGATCAATGGGAATTCCTGTGTCGGCTGTTGCATCCAGGGCACATTTGTTAAGGAGTAAGAAAAGTCTTCCTCTAGAATGTTCTCTACAGCTTAACCTCCCCAGCAAGCTAAATCAAAGGGTGGAAAATACAGTGAAAGGCCTCAAAATCTGGCAGTTTCTCAGGGCTCAGGAAGGCACTTGGTGTGTTACGCACACAGCTCAAGCAAACACCCAGGAGATATCCTTTCCTGTAACCATTCCTTGCCCTCAAATCAAACTCATCAGGGCTAAGAACGTGGCTCAGTGATTAAGTGCCCCTGGATTCAATTCCTGGTACCAAAAAAAAAAAAAAAGATTAGGAGTGGAACCCTAGTTCACTATCTATGATCCAGTTATGTCACTCCTTAGCATTTGTCCAAAAGAACTAAAATCAGCACACTGTAAGGATATATTCATACCAATGCAGTGCAATTCAAAATAGCCAAGTTATGGGAACCGACCTAGGTGTTCATTAATAGTCAAATAGTTAAAGAAAATGTCACACACACACACACCCACACACACACACACAATGGAGTTGTACTCAGTCCTAAAGAAGAATAAAATTATGTCATTTGCTGCTAAACGGGTGGAACTGGAGAACATCATGATAAGTGAAATAAGGCAGACTCAGAAAGTCAAGGGTTGAATGTTTCATCTCATATGTGGTATCTAGAGAGGAAAAAAAGAAATTAAAGTGGGATCTCATGAAATCAGAAGGAAGACCAACAGAGTAAAGGAAGGGGGAGGGCAAAGTGAGGTCCTGGAGAATAAAACCATCCAAATTATGTTTTGTCCACGTATGACTATAGCACAGTGAATCCTACTTTGATAGATAATTATCATGCACTATTTTTTTTAAAAAAAATAATAGAAGGAAACCAATAGAGTAGAGGAAGAAGATCAGGGAAAAGAGGAGAAGGAAAGGGAAAGTACTGGGGAACTAGATTGATTAAATTATGGTTTGTACATGTATAAATCTCTCAGAATGAATCCCACTGTAATGTGTAATTATAATGCACCGATAAAAACCAGGAAAAAATAAAAATGTAAACCACATCACATGACTCCCTGCTAAAAATTCTGAATAGTTTCCCTCTCTACTGAGAATAAATTCCAATATCATTCCAGTATATCTTCCTACAGTAAGGGAAGGGGCCCTACCAGACCTCACCTTTCACCACTCTCTTTTACAGATTCTGGCCTTTTTCCATGATTCTAGCAAGACATGCTAGTTCTTATTTGGAAGCCTTTGAACCAGGTATTTCTTTGTTCAGAAGAGTCCTCTCCATGACCATATGTGTTTGGCTCCTCATTTTATTCAGACCTTAACTAAAAAGTCACCTCATCCAAGGAACTTTTTCTGATACTTGATCTAAAAGATCACCCCCCAGTCACTCTTTATTTCATAACCCTCTTTCCTGATGTTGTCCTTAGCATTTTCCATGGCTTATGTCTTGCTTTTGTGTCACTCATCTGTTGTCTTTTTCCCCCATCTAGAATACAAAGCCCATAAGCATAAGGATCTTGTCTTGTTTGCTACGGTACCCCTGCATCCATGACAGCAGCTTGCCATGATGCATGTCCAATAAACACATGTTGATGGAATGCACATAGAAGCCCTCCATGTTCTGGCTTCAGTGTACACTTGCAACTCGGTTTCCCACAACGTCTAGAGAATCCCACTTAATCAGACAACTTTCCAGCTTCCATACCTTTGCTTGTACCATTTCCTCCGCTCAAGTGGTCTCCTGATCTTCTAAATCCTACGCTGCTAAAATCCTACCCATTGCACTGATTGGCATACCTTCCAGGCCTATCACCGTATAGAGTTCATCACATTGTGCCAAAGTCAAGTCTAAACCCATCTGTTTCTGACCAAACTGTGAGATCCTAGAAAACAGAGATTGCATCTTATTCACCGCTGTATCTTTGGTACCAAGCACTGTGACTGGCCAATTATATGGGAAGAGACTGGGACTTACATAAAAAGACCTGTATATATTTAAGACCTTGCTCTATCACTTACCAATGTTATGATCTTAGAAAAATTTATCTCAATATATATTTTGAGATAATAAATACAAAAATGATTTATGATCTGATAGCTTTTGCTTATTTATCGGTACAAAGAATTTGTTTCTTCTTTACATATTTTTAATAGGAACTTAATCAGGAAGCTCTTCGAGGAATCAAGTTCAGGGGAATGGGCCAGGCTGGCAGCACATGCTTATAATCCCAGCTATTCTGTAATCCCAGTGACTAGGGAGGCTAAAACAGGGGGATGGCAAGTTTGAGGCCAGCCATAGCAATTTAGCAAGACACTATCTCCAAATAAAAAATAAAAAGGGCTGGGGGAATAGCCAAAGCAATCTCTTACCCTGCACGAAAGCCATTTAAAGTGGATCAAAGACTTAGAAATTAGACCCGAAATGTATCAACTGCCAGTAGAAAACATAGCTTGTCAATACTTCAACATGTTGGCTCAGCACCTACTTCCAAACTCAAGAAATAAAACCAAGAATCAATAAGTGAGATGCCATCAAATTAAAAAGCTTCTGCACAGCAAAGGAAACAATAAAGAGCATAAAGAGAGTCCACAGAATGGGATAAAATCTTTGCCAGC